TTTTTTTTTTTTTTTTTTTTTTAACTATTACAGCTACCGCATCACTCAAACACTCTGAATACCGTTTAATTATTGGTTTTAGTTCTTTTGAAATGTATTTCTCAAACATGCTGTCTAAGAGGATTCTAACAGTGTGGTTTCTGTACAGGGAACTGTGGAGATAAAAACCTAGTGCGACTGGGTCCACAAAAATCAATCAGCACTGATGTCCTGAGATTCAGCTTGGATAGTCAAGTTAGCTACAGAATGAGTGAGTAAAGTGCAGATTTTGTTTGTTTATTTGGGGTTTTTTAAACCTTTATAAGGAGATGGTTTGGAGATTTGATGGGGCTGTGTACTTAGTTCCACTGCATGAGGGAGAGCCATTGTGATGGCAGATGTTTATAGAACAGTATATATTTTCCCAAAGTATTTCACAAACCCTTTCCTTTGTGGGCCTTTGAGGGGTGCTGTCAGCAAAGTTTGGGCTAAATTAAATTTTTTTTATAGCAAGTATACTTTTTATACAAATAAAAGCAAGTTCCAGGGAAAACCTTTCACCTTGTCCTCCCCCTCCATCTTCTTTCCCCCCCATGAGTTAAAGAGTTTATTTAAGATCCAGACACTGCAGTCTGGTTAGTAAACAAGAGATGCTAAGTTCATTTTCATTGCCCTAGGTAAGAGGCAAGGTGGGAGCATAAATAGTAATGAGTAAAGTAGGTGTTTTAAAGTCCTCCTATTTTTCATAACTGTGCGGATGAGGTTGGTACAATTTTGTAGTACAAGTTTTAAACTTGTTTGTTTTTCATGTTCTTTTGTAGACCGGGGTCACTCTGGCCGTGATCAAGATCTTCACAAGAGAAAAGAAGCTCTGGATCGTCAGCTGGACATGCTCTCTCGTCAGCGAGCCATGGATAGGTGTGAAAAGAGGGAGAAGGTGGTTTGACTTGGATTTCATTCCTTGCAATTTTTTTTTGTATTCCAAAATGGAACTTAGAGAACCTTCTTTCTGAATCTAGCGTACCTTTTTTCATTTTGAGTAGAGGAACATTTTCCTATGACTTGCACTATACTAGAACAGGCCAGAATCGTTCACAAAAAGCCTTTTCCTCTATCATTAAGAAGCTGTAAAAAAATAGACGTACATTAATATGCAGATGTGGAGATGGCAGTTGTCAGAGTCCTTTGCTAATGTTGTTGCTAACTGAAAGTATTACTCCTTTCTAACTAAACTTAACCAGGGTCTTTGGAAACTTTTCATTCGTGTGTGTGTGTGTGTGTGTGTGTTAAGTTTTCTTTAATGCTTGAAGTAGATGGATCAAGTGGCTGGACGTGGCACAGCTTTGTGATCATGTTTGTAGTACTTCTGTATGGGTGTTCCTTAGAGTCATAGTGGAAGCCCCTGCCTGGGGCAGGGTCATCCCTATCCAAACCATAACCTAAGCTCTGCATAAGTCTCCCAGTTGTTGCATTAAACGCTTGGTATCCATGCTCAGGTTATAGCTTACTGATGACAAATTGTGATTCGTAGCAGTATGGAGAAAGGAAGTTCAAGGCCATATGTTCAGGAGTCTGAGTATCTTAGGTTGTAGACAGCTCACAATTTTGTATCGTTTCTATGAAACTGATCAGCTTGGCCAGACGTATTTAGCTCTTAAAAGACTCTAAGTTTGATCATGTTTAGAAAACCTTGAGGGTATAAGAGAACAAAGGGCCTTAGCAAATGTGCATTGTTAATTACGCTTGAAACAAAGGTTCAGTTCATTTATTTTATTTTTTTTCTCTCCCCCAGAGTCAAAAGTTGGATGATGAAATTGGCAGACTTTCAAAAGAGAGGCAAGAGCTCGCTTCTCAACTCAAGGAGGTAGGAATTTTTGCCTGGGGCAGCTCTTTAAGACAGCCTTAGTTGAAATATTTATTGTTAACTTTTCATCTCCTGTGGAAGTGACTGTGATTTGGACTTAAAGTGGCTGAGAGTATAAGTCCAAAGCTTTAGTGGTAGTTTGACCTCTGATAGATATAAGCTGCCCATGAGTCTTTACTTTTTCCTTGGCAGGAAGCTTGGCTTGGGCTAATGTAGTCATTCTCAGCCAGTGTACCACAGCACCCTGAGGTGCCATAAGATCCTTTCAGAGGTGTCATGGAGTACCATGCCATGTTAGTACTGTTAAGTTTGCAAACATGAGTCACAAGAGAAACCCAGAGTTTGAAATGGAAGTCCATAGTTGTGGTCTTTGTGAGTTTTGCAACAGAATTGCTCTATTATTTATCTGTACTTAAAATAGTAAAAATAAGAGCTGGCATCTTCTGAGGGGTGTCTTGACTCTAAAAAGGTTGAGAACCACTGAGCTAATGGATTGATGAACTAATTCAAAGTATTTTTGCCCTGTAGCCTACAGACACAAAAACAGACTTTTGCTAAGATTGCAGCCTGTATCTTGCAAATATTGTAGAGCTTGGGAGGTCAAGTCAGCATAAAAATTTGGGCAGGTAGACTTTGCCTCATGTTCAGTTTCTTTGTGTGAGTACTAATCTCGCTGTAAGGAGCTAACTTCAGTATAACTGTACAATTAATACGTGGACTTCTTAGCTGCTAAAATTGGTCAGACTCTCGGGTAGTAAAAAAGGCAAACAGATGGTGCAAAAAGATTTGACAATGACTGACTAAAGGAAAGATGAATGGAGACTTTGTGTCCTGTCCTTCCACTCAAAGGTTCGAGGCCGTCCACAGGAAGTGCAGGCTAGCATCATTTTGGAGTCCCACATCGTCTGCTGCACATTGAGCACAAGTGGAGGTTTTCTGCTGGAGTCTGCTTTTCGACGACAAGGACTTGACCCTTTCAGTTGCGTCATTGTGGATGAGGTCAGCAAAGCTATTAAACAACAACAATACTAAATTGCCTAGCAGTGGCCACAGCAAAATATTTGAGAGGACAGCGAAACATCCATTCTTATGAGCTTACTACTTACATTGCACTTTGTTCCTCAAAGCATTCCATTGTGGCATCTCAGAATATGTTCTCCTCTCTGCCAGAGCCAGGCTTAGATCTCCAAATTGCAGTATCTTCTGCAGAGAATAGAAAGCTTCACGCCCCCTTACTTAGCCAGTTTTTGTGGGTAGATTTCTTTGGTCCTACATATAAATAGGAACTGTCCAAATCCACTTCCTACCATGCCTCTGAGAGATGCTACATCCACAAATCCTACATTTGTGAAATGCTTTTAAGTTAATTATCTCAGTCGTGTATCTGGTATCTTAATGAGTTATTTCTTTGAGTTAATGTAAAATGGAGCTCTTACCATAGGGATTCATCCAGATGGACGGGTTATATTTGTGTCTGTTTTGAGAGCTCTGGAAGTAATTGGATATTAAGAGAAGAAAACTTATTTTGGATTTGCTTGTTGAAAAAATTTAAGGAAAATATCTTTTTTCCCTCCCCGTTTTTGGCAACCTTTTTAAAAATGAATGTTTTAGTTACTCTGCATATGGTAGTGGAAAATATATAATGCTTCTTCTCTCCTTTCCTCCCGTTGCCTTATAATTGGAACTTTATTTCTTCTTGTTTGAACATATGAAAGGCAGGACAAGCATGTGAGGTTGAAACTCTCATTCCACTGATACATCGCTGTAGTAAACTTGTCCTTGTTGGAGATCCCAAGCAACTCCCTCCCACTGTAATATCCATGGTAAGTATTCAGATTGTACTGGTTCTTTTGCATAATGGAAATAGTGATGGCACAGTTAAACTAGTA